TAGACTATTCTCCACCCAGCAGCCAGAATAATTCTTTAAAACATTCAAGTCTTCATAATTTCACTCCTGTTCAAAACCCTCCAAAATTTCCATTTCATTGTGATTAAAAAAGTCAAAGTCTTTAAAAGGGTCCACAAAACTTATCTATACGATCTACCCTGAATACTTTTACAAATCTATTTCCTACTGTTCCCTGCCACAGTGGTCTCCTTGAAGTTCCCTAAATGCTTGAAGCCTATCTCGGGGTCTCTGCCCCAGCTGTCTCCTCTGCTTTGAATACTATTCCCTCAAATAGCCATGTGGCCTTCTCCTTCACCTCTTTAAGTCTGTGATCAACTGTCACCCTAATAAAGAGACCCTCCCTGACATGCTAGATAATACTAACCACCAGGGATGGCTGAATGGACAATCATATATCCACCCCAAGGAGAACTATGCAGCAGTAAAAAAGAATGAGCAAAAAACCACAAAAAACAAACAAACAAACAAAAAAAAAAAAGGGCCGAGCCCGTGGCGCACTCAGGAGAGTGCAGCACTGGGAGCGCAGCGGGTTCAGATCCTATATAGGGATGGCCGGTGCGCTCACTGGCTGAGTGCGGTGCGAGCGACACCAAGCCAAGGGTTGCTATCCCCTTACCGGTCACAAAAAAAAAAAAAAAAAAAAAGAATGAGGCTGATCTCTATAAACTGATAAGGAATTATTTTCCAGATATATGGTTAAGTGACAAAAACAAGGTACAAAAGAGTACATAGAGTGTTATCTTACTTAAGGGGAGTTAGAAATAAACACATGTATCTGTTTATAATTGCAAAAACACAGAAAAGATAAATCGGAAACAAATAATGTCTATTATGGGGAACGGGGAGGGTGGAAATAGGACTTTTCTGAGCATATCTTTTTATATAGTTTTGATTAACCATGTTAATATTGTACATATCTAAAAATTAAATTAAATCAAACCCTAAAATTGAATAGAAACAAATTAATGAAAATATATATCAAATTGATAACATTACCACACAGAAGGTAAAAAAAAAAAAAATCCAAGTAACTTTTGAATACAGTATTCTATATATCTTCACTGGGATATATTAAAGAATAAAAGGAGCTGCAAAGAAATTTTTACCTGTAGTTAATAAGTTTGTAGTTGGTAATGGTATTGGTACAGCAATTGTAAAACTATTTTGTATTCAATGCTGGTTAGGAAAATATATACTCATGCTACAGAGAGAAGGGAGATACAAATATGGAATAGAGGAAAAGGAAGAAAAACTGAGTGTTGGATTAGTCTTAGAGCTATCAGGATAGACTCAAGACTGGTTAGGAAAATATATACTCATGCTACAGAGAGAAGGGAGATACAAATATGGAACAGAGGAAAAGGAAGAAAAACTGAGTGTTGGATTAGTCTTAGAGCTATCAGGATAGACTCAAGATTTTTTAAAAAGTCTATTTCTCAGCTCTGAAAATTGATAGGGCCGAGAAGCAATAACTCCAATAGCCTTGAGCACACCTAGAACTCATCCCTTACTAAAAGGAACCAGAGAATCTAATGATTCCAAGGCTGGCGCAGGAAAGGTACAAAATCAGTACAGAACATCTTTCTGTGCCAGAAAGCAAGGAAGTCAGAAACATGGCAAAAGGACACTGAAGCTTGAAGGGTTCCCACTTGGCAAATTTGGGATCACTGAGCACCAAAATTATCAGTTAATGACAGGAATGTCATCTTTGGAAAAAAAAAAAAAATCCATGAGTCCATACTAACACTTAAAAAAAAAATTAAAAGGAGGGTGTGCAAAAGCTCTCCATTACTGAAGAATGTCAACTAATAAATGTATATAGAAAAATAGGGATAGAAAATTGCCATTCACAAATATTTTAGTAATAACGGATTCTGGAGAAAATCACCATAGGATGCTAAAATCATTGGATGAAAGATAGTTGTAGAATAGAATATTCACTCAAACTCAAAGCATCACTTAATAAATAATTTATTATCTACAAAGGTGAAAAGGTGCCTCTACAATGGAGAAATACGGTAGTCTTCAACTTAAACAAATAGTTGAAGTTAATGTCTCCAATAATAGGATGAACCTACCACAACTGCCTCCTAATGCAATGAACTGAGAAGGACACAAAAGAAATTCTTGCCAAAAAGATTAACCAGAATCTACTTGTGAAGAAACAGACAACCCAAATTGAGGGACGTTCTGTAAAACAACTAGCCCAGACTCTTCAAAAATGGTTATATCATAAAGTACCAAAAAAAAAAAAAAAGAGAGAGAGAGAGAGAGAGAGAAGAAATTGGCAACAGTTTTAGAATAAAGGGGATTAAAGAGAGATGATTACCAAATGCAGTGTGTGATCCAGGACTGGCTTGTGGACTCTAACAGAAAACTGAGTTGTATCAAGGCTGTATGTCCTGACTGTGACAGTGATTCTGTGGCTTGTTGGAGAACACTCTTGTTCTTAGGAGACACACTTTGAAATATTTAGGAGTGAGGTACCAGGGTTCTGTAACTCTAAAGCAGTTTAGCAAAAAATAAAAAGTGTGTGTAAGAAAGAAAGAAAGAGAGACAGGTAAAACAAATGGACAAAATGTTAACTGGTGATGTGAGAAAAGTGAAAAGTATACAAGTGTTTACTATTTTTGCAGCTATTCTAAAGATTCTAAATGTTCCAAAATATTAAAAAACTAAAAAGAACTATGAACCACTTCCATGCTGTGTTTTTTTGCTTTACCAATCTCTATAGTGATAAATGCTTACTTTACCACTATCCAACATCTATGTACTTGTTCATTTACTTCTTGCTTCTCTCCCTCACTATACTGTGAACTTCACAAAGGCAGGGAACTGTCTGAACCTTGCTATATCCCCAGGCCCTCGTACAGTGCCTCATACACAGCTGACACTCAATAAATATTTGTTAAATTACTGATGTTCATTTCTCTCATGTGAGTGGTGCTCTCTTCAAGGGTGAAGATACTGAGGCATGCAGAAGTTAGATAACTTATACAAGTTCATAACTCATGGGAGGGGTAGGGCCAGGGTCCAATGCCAGGATTGTGACTCTAGAGGTGACGCTGTTAATCACTATGTTTGGCAGTTTTCCTAGTGAGGCAAGCTGGGCCCCCAAAGGGCTCTCCTTCTACAGGGCTATACCATTCAGTCTTGTCCTTAGTTTATGGCCTATTCAGAGCAGGTTATAAATACATGCTCACTGAATGAAATGACCTGTGAGTGAATACATGAACTAGGTGGGGACCACCTATGAAGGGACTGTTCAAAGAATCTTCTGGAGGTGGGGCTTCATGGGTAGACTGGGTTTGCCGTGGAAGAGAGAGCATAGGTGCAGGTGACAGTGACCAAAGGTGCCAGGGAATGAGAGACCAGCTCTTCTAGAAGAATGTTACCCCATCCATTCAATCTGTGTATACATCTCTTCCTCTTTTCCCACAGCCACAGCACATGAACCACCAAGGCCTTTGGGCACTGTGATGGTAGTCTACCCTGGCCTCCCTGCCTCCAATTCCTCCCAGATGCAATACTGCCTCTTTATTACTGCTAGATTGTTCTTCCCAAGTGCATGGTCCTGATCCTGTCAGGCCCAGAAACAGCTCTTCTTTGCTTGCAGAAGAGAATCCAAACTTCCAAAGGAGACATTCAGGGCTCCACCATGGAGCCTCAAGCTCCCTTGTGCACACCTACTACACAGTCACACTGAATAACTCTATTGCCCAAGTTCACCCTGCACACTCCTGCTTTCCTGACTTTCTTACCTGGTCTCCTCCTCTTGGAATCTTTTCCCACATCCTGTCCACGTATCACCTGTCTTACCACCCCACAGGCTGGGTTCAAATACCCTCCCTTCCATGAACGCTTTACTTCATAAAAGACATTTGATTTTGCAAAAAAAGACTTTAGCACTTTATTTTTAACCTCTTTTACAATACTGAACTTCTTTACCATCTAAGTAGGTACTTTGGAGCGTATCTCAGCTCCTGCCCTCTAAGTGGTCCTCAATAGATGTGCGTACCCCATGGGCACACAATAAATGTCAAACCAATGGACGAATGGAGATGAAAGACTGACAGGGTAGTCATGGACAAAGAGGCCCGCAACGGGGAAAGGTGAACACCCAGTGAGGGAGTTACTGCTGCAGGCCAGGGGTCTGGCTGTCACTTGACCAGGGGCCTGTGTGTGGAGGGGTGCAGGAGGGTGGAGAGGCAAGAATGGAAACAAAGATACCTACTTCATAGGGCTGCTATGACGATGTGGATTAAGCAGTGTGGAAAGGATGGCCACAGTCGTAGACACACTAGCTCGCTCATGTTTTGAAGGGAAGTAAAGGAATCCCAGAGTGAGGCCTGCCGCTCAGCGCCTCTCTGCCCGACTCGTCTCCGCGGCCTGCGGCTTTCCTTGGAGCTGCCACGCCCAACGCGGGACGGGGGCGAGCCAAGCCTAGTTCTGTTCTTGGGGCAGGTGGGCCCGGGCCACCCTGGCCCTGTCCTGGGCGAATTCATAGGCCGAGGAAGAAGTTATGAGGTCCGCTCAAGTTCTTGGCGACGTTATTTTGGAAGGCCCAAGAAATCACTTAGCAGTCACTTGAGGAAAGTCTCACCCTTCCGATACACTGAATGGGCAGGTGAGCTGGGATGGGGGCCGAGGGGGGACCCTAAGAAGGATCCCGGAGAGGGGGAGAAAAACCCAGAGAGAGGAAAAAGCCCCCAGACGGCGCAGAGGAGAGAGGGCTGGAGCCCGGTCCCTTCCTTCTCCAACAGGACCCGGGCGCCTCGGGCCAAACTTTCTTCCTGACGACACGGGGGAGAACTGGTGATGAAATGACCACTTTCCCTCCCAGAAAAGGCTCCCGCTGGGTGAGTGTCCCCCGTCCGGGACCCGCAGCCGCCCCGGGCCGCGCCCGCCCACCCGGTTCCGGATCCCCGGGCCACGCACTGCCCGGGAGCTGCTGAGTCCCCGGAGAAGCCTCCACTTACCGAACCGGACCAACGGGCTGATCACGCTGAGGACCCCCAGGGCGGGCCCGGGGCCGCTCGCCGAGGCCATCGCGCGTCCGGCCGGTCCCCAGGCGCAGCCTCAGTTTGCAGGCGCGCCGAGACGGGGTGTCAGGAGGCCCCGCCTTCCGCCCCG